TTCAGCCTCCCAGGCCCCTCCAGATGATGCATAAGATGTATTTAATTTAAATTAATAAAGGGAGTAACTTTTTTGAAACAATTAAAATACTCATTAAAAACCTTTTAACATAATCTAAAATAGTACTTCAAAATAATTTTAGATTAAAAAAATGATTAAAACAGAGAAGGCTCTCTGAAACCCACAAGGCCATGTGAAACAATGTTGCCCACAGGAAGCTAAAGTTTAAAAATAGTGACCTTTTTCCTTGCAATTTCAAATTCACTTACAATGGAATTTAAAAAGCAAACCTTCAGCCATGAAAAGCAACAACAGATAAAACCACCACTAATTAGTATTTCTTGCTTCACTGCTCTGCGAACATGAATAACCTTACTAGAAACCCACAACTTCCAACAAGTAATTTATCAGCAACTGGCTGTTTTAGGCCTAACATTACCAACACTCACTCTGTCTTCTACACAATGCTCAACTTACACTAGATAGGGAATTATTACCATACAAAATGGAAAACATCTGTCAAAATAAATGAGCAAAGAACTTTGACTTCCAACATCCTATGCCCTTTTTGAAAAGTACTATCTGCTTGCCCTTATATGAGTTCACGGGGATGAAGCAATAAAGCAATGATGAGAATCTGGTTGTTTGAATAAATAAAATACATTTTCCCTATGATGCCTCAGTGTTGTTTTTAAAAACCCAAGCCAATTTCCAATGCATCAAAGAAGTGGTGTTTAATATCTCTTGGAAGGATCCAGAAACTTGGCTCAAAAGAAGTTTGTTTTCAGAGAACAGCATAGAAAAAGAGTGACCAAATATGTAGATGTTTAAATAAACAAAAATGTTTTGACAGAGGAATTCTAAGCAAATCTCCATAAGGATAAGTGAGAGTCCAGTGGAGCCTATACCCTAGGTGAGTATTCATAGGTTGCCAGCTCAAATTCTTCCTTGGTGAACATTTTACAATTAGTATTTCTCCCAACCATATACTTTCCTCCTAAGCAAAAGAGACAACAGTAATGCCTGACCTCAAGGTTTTCTCCTTGAACTTCTGCATGTTTTGACAGTTGCTCTGTCTAGAACGGCAAGAGACTGTAGGCAAATACAGACGCAACATCAAAAGAAATGAATTACTAAAGAGGCACACTGGGGGAAGGAGGGGGAGGAGGAGGATAATGATGAGAATGATTTGCGTTAATGTGATGCATGTATTAACTAGTTGTAATTCTCACAACAACCTTCAAAAATGAGGCTTGACAACTGCTGCAGGCCTGCTTCTGGGACCCTCCAGGGGCCACAGAGATTGCCAAGAAACCCTTGTCCCCTCCCCAAACTAGAAAAGACAGAAGAGAAACTCTTGGAGATAAATCTAGTTCACTTGTAATAGAAGAATACCCAAAGAATAATTCTGCTTGCTATTTGTTACTGCTGTAGCAGCAGATACAAGAAAAACAAGATGAAAAAATATAGAGATCCAGAATAGATCAGTGCTTCCCAAAGGGGGCAGTATTGCCCTCTCAGCAGAAGGGAGGCTGCAAGCAGCCAGGGGCACAATTGGGTAGCACTGAACAAAAGTAAGGGGGTAGTGGAAACATAATAATATAATAATAAATTTATTTTTATGCCCTGCCTCCATCTCCCCGAAGGGGTGGCTTAAATGGAGCCAGGCCCAGTCGACAGTTAAAACATGTACAAAATGCAATAATAAACATAAATCATAAGCAACATTATAACAATAATAAAACAAGCATCAGAAACAACAGCCAATAAAATAATTCTCAAGTCTCATTGTAGAAAGACAGTCATTGTAGAAGCAAATTTTGGAAAAAAAATGTACAAAGTTCATCTGTTGTGTAATAGAGAGTTGCAGTCATAGTGATTACTTTATTTTCCAAATGAATACTCAAATGCAAGTTATAACCAATCAGTGGTCAAGTCTGCCGACAGGTCTTAACAAGCAAGTTGGAAGGGCAGAACGCATTGGGAGGAATATGTGTGGGTAATGATTTGTTGACAATAGGATACTATAAATAGGAGACATGAGTGAGAATTAATTTACCTTTTTTCTGCACTGTGTGACAAACAATTAATAATAGTGCATGTTCAATATTTATTTATTTACTTCATTTCTACCCTGCCTTTCTCACCCGAAGGGATTCAAGGTGGCTTACAAATTCCTGCAAACATTCAATGCTGGTTAAAAACCAAGTACTAACAATAAAAACCACTGATCAGTTATAACTTGCAATAGGTATTTAAAAATTTTAATCCATGCTGGCAAAAAACAGAGCTAAATATTAATAAATTGATAGCAGTGCACAATGTTCATCTTTCTCATTCAGGATTTTTTGAAATGATATTTGGATATTTTATTTTAATGTTATCCTCATTGTCTTAACTTTCTGTGTGTAATGCAAATGCTATTATGACAGATTTTAATACACAATTTTTTTTATTTTCAAGCTTCAATGTGCCTTATTTGCAACAACATCTTTCTTTACCATGTTGTACGATGTAGGAAGAAACAGAGATACAAAAAGGGGGCAGTAGAACATATAAAATTGGGAACCTCTGACACACATGCAAAATCCATGTTGTGCAGACACACTGTCAAAGAAAAACATTAATTTTCAGCCTCTTTTAGGGCCATTAATACAACTAGAAAAGTGTCTGGAAAATGTCTGGATAGTGTGATTTTGTACCTGTTTTAAAGTTAGGGCAGCTTGTGTTTCCCATGTTTTTAGTCTAAAGTTTAAAGGCCTTATCCAAGGTGCTGAACCTATTTTGTGAATACAGTTCAACATTTTGGACACATCTTACAGCCAAACCCATAGCAGATTCACTGCCCACAAACAAGATAGCCAGTAATGGCCACTTGCTGAGAATCTGGATTTTATTACAAATGAATTCATACAAATATCTAAATTTGTAGGTCAGAAATCCCTATCCTAGTATTGTATTACAGAGGAGTAAATGCTAGAGCTCTCTGGCAGATAATTCCAAGCATCTTTAAATCACATTTTGGTGTACAGGCTTTTGCTGTAACAGTGCCTAGCCCTTTGGGAAAATGTTGCGAAGAATGAATGTGGTTAAGTCAATGGGAAGCAGGTTCTTGAGGCATTGCTGGAATGCAATTTCCATCATTCCTGGCACTGCCATGCTGACTAGGGCTGATGGGACACAGAAACAAATTCAGTTTTTGTGTATGTTTTAATATATGCTTTTATGTGCTTTTCTAGAATAACTAATTATGTTGTGGCCTAGCTTGAGTAAAAAAATTGATGATGATGATGATGATGATGATTTCTGTCAGTTGAGTGTGTTTCTTTACCCTCTGCTCTATCGTGCTGCTTGCTTACAGCCCAGCTAAGAGTTGTAACTGCAGAAGGGCACAAAGATGCTCAAAAAGGCCAGTGGTGGTTTCTGTTGACGCATGCTACACTTTCTTCCTTTTAACAAGGAGGGGATTTTTGTCCCAGTAAGCATTAAGATGGGCTTTTTGATGGCCCTTGAGATTGGAGGTATCCAGTCTTGGTGAGATCCAGGGTCAGTGAGAACAAACCCCCTATCCAAAAGATCTAAGGATATATTTTCTGGAAAATAAAAGTACATACAGCCCTGCAGAGAAAGAAGCTTGCAGGTCAGTGGAGAGAGGAAGTTGTAGGAAAGCAACAAAACAAGGTGAAAGGAGTCACACAGCTCCCAGCCTCTTTCCTGCCTTCTGTCTATCCATTTGACTGGCCCTCCCTCTTTCCCATTGGCTTCTTTTCTCTCCTTCTCACATCTTTCCTGCTGGGGAAATACTAGCGGGCTGGGGGGAAGACAATGGAACAGGAGGATGGTTGAGGGTAAAAACAGCAAGTGAGCAATCCTTTTTGGTGCCTTTTTTCCTTCTCAGCTTGCTTTACCAGCAGCATGCACAGATATGTGAGGAGTCTAAAGCAATTTTCTGAAAGAAGAACTAGCCCTTGTAAAATACACAGACAAGTTCAAGTAATTCAAGGAAGGTTCCACTCTTTCCATTGGTAAGCATTGCAACTGTGTGCATGCCTGCATGCAAGCAACAGACACTGAATCTTGTAGACAATAAGACCTGACAATAGAGCAGACCCCATGTCAAATTAATGGAACTTGACTATAACTTTAAAACAGCAAAACGAGACATCAAAAGGAGAAGAAAGCTTGCACACCAAAATCCAGAAAACTGCTAAAGAGGTGAATATCAACAAAGGAAATTTTCCATAAATGTAACAAATAACTTTTGCTACATCCTGAAAGGTGGCCAAATAAGAAAAAAAATCGAAGAATGAAGAAGAAATATCTTCCAAATGTCAGTGGAAAGAAATGAAAATGCACGGTTTTCTACAATCTCAGTTGCAAAAACATGGAGAAAGAAGGATTTCCAAAATTGGAATGATTCTGCATAGCATCTACCTGAGTGCAAACAACTTTACGAACATTACTGTGTTCAGGACTCCTTCCATCTCTATAGTAACTCTTTATCCAAAACAGATGCATCCGCTACTGAAACACTTTTTTGGGGCTTTTTTTCTGTTTTGTTTTTTGTTTGGGGGTGGAGAGATGGATAAATTCTAACAAGAGATTTCCAAAAGTCAACCCAAAAGTTATCAGTAACACAGGGGTTTTTTTGGGACAGAAACACTACACATTCAAGCTGTTGAAACCCTTGATCTGATTTAAACCTCCCGTGTATGCAGGTAAAAACTTAACATACTCCTGAAACATACATGACAATAGTCATTCATGAACTGAGCTGCAGGACAGCATATAACACCCAAATCAAGGAGATCTACTTCCTGAGTCAACGAACTGATCCACAAATGGCTTGCTCAATTCAAATTAGAACCCAGTTTATATGCAATACATCAAATTCCAAATTAATATGGTCTGGGCAGGCATAGGACTTAGTGGGTTGCAGGCCAAACATTTTACCAACTTGAAATACATATGTCAATTATTCTACATTGAAAGTGCATTACCACAGTTTGGGACTGGCTTCTCCATTAGAGATATCCTCTGGTTGTTGTCATTCATACAGTAAAAATCCTGAGTTTCTGTTTTTAGATTTCTGGACTCCTGGAACACCTTGATCCACATAATATCACATGAACACTTGAATGGATTGCCGTCTAAAATCCTACAGCAAGAAAATACATAGTTATAAAACTCTGTTAATATGCAAAAAAAAAATACAAAAACAATTTTATTTAAGAAAAACAACTTCAAAAATAGACCCCAAATCTTACATTTTAAAATGTGACTGGGCAGGGTAGTAGCTGCTTAAGCAGAACTTAAACAGGACTGAATTACACCTGTCACTGAATAAGCATATATGCATGATGGCAAGCAAAAGTGCACCTTCCATCTGTTTCCACCCAAAGGGCCTGCATCTCCATACCTTGATAAGATTTCCATGTCCTAAAGACCCATGAATTTTTATCTACAGACAAATTCAATCTATGTATTTTAAAAATTGTCAACTTGCATCAATCACCACTTCAGAAAACACTCCCATATGTTTTTTTGCCTGTGTGTCTTTCTCACTTTGAGAGAAAGGCAGGTGATAAATCCAATTAATAAGTACACACATACATACATTGTGTGAAAAAGAAAGGTGATCTTCAATACTGATACAAGCTAGTCAGTTTCTGTATAGCCCTCTTATAAAAAATAACTATTTTCTGAAAACTCTATTGCCGAAAAAATTAGGATTTTCTTTGTAATCAAAAGGTTTTACTCTATTAAACTAAGTGATAAATTGACTAAATTGTGCAACCAGCAAAACAGACTTTGAATGGAAGGAAATGCTACTGAGCATAGCAATATTTTGTCAATGTTTTGATTAGAACTAGGAACAGAATCATCATCTTGAGTTACTCAGTTCACTTCAGCAAAAGTATTCTAGACTGAGAATGAGAGAAGCATTTGATTCAATGTGTATTTTTGTCCAGAACAGATTTTTTTACAAAGTTTTCTCTCTTCTGGGACAAGGAGCTCCCTCTCATGGTCAAAAATACCTGGTAACAGATGTAAACATTTAAGCAGCAATAATATTCTGTGGACTTCTCTACACAGACTATAAGATATTTTAACTACAATAGTACTAAAACAGCAGCAGCGGCAACAACAGAGTAGTGTGGATAGTTAAACGTGGAAGCACATCGTGAAAAATTATAATAAACTCTTTGCAAAGGCTACAGGTGGGCTTCCCATTAAAGCCAGATCTCAAGGTAAGTATGGTAGAGTGACAGAAGTCCAGTTGTTTAGTTCAGGCATGAACCATCCTTTCAGTTTTGCTCAGAAAAGCATATTTATGCTTCATGATGATAATCCTTTGGTGTGCTACTTGATAGCCTTAAGACATTTCATTAAAAAGAAAACACAAACTAGTGTGCTAATTATAATAAACTGCAGGAGTTATATTTGATTTGACCACAATGATTGCAATCTCTTTGCAGATACAATCTTTGCAGAATATGCAAACCAGTTGAGATCCTTTGAAAGCTCATCAAACACAGTGTTCTACAAGTTTTATATATTCTTGCAAACAGACTGAAAGAGTTAAGCACCCATTCCCAGAAGAAGTACTTGGATTTGAGTCAAAAGTAGGTTCTTTGCAGTACTGTATGGGGGACAGGAAAGAGGCAGAACTCTTGCAGACATTATTGCAATGGCTTCCCGTCCACTTGAATGGGTTGCTGTCCTTTAACATGGGAGGGAGGGTGGAAAGAGATTTGTATCTTTCCTCATGTTCTTCTCCTTCACAGCAAGGAAGTATTTTTTTTCTTTCTTTTCTCCCACTTCACTTTTTCTTTCTTTCTCAGGAGGTGAGTTAAATGACAAACGTCAGCCTAGTAGTGAGTCACTGTTACAAACTGGGCTTGATAAACACTTTGTTCTCAAGCACATGTGCCCTCCACTCTATACTCATAAATATTCCCAAAATATGGGCACCTAACTCTAATTGCTAGTCCCAAGTAGACTATGCCTACCTGCTGAATGGTGAGTCACATGAATCCCATTAATTTAATGGATCTACTTTAGTAGGACTAACAACTGGATTTAAGAAAAACTGTTCTAGTACACCCAAGGTATGTGAATCAATGCACACAGGCCAAGTAAGGAAGAGACTAACAGAATACATACATTTGTAAGGTTTCCCTACATAATATGTATCTAATGGCATTTATTTATTTATTTATTTATTTATTTATATTCTGGTGTACATCCTACTGAGTTCAAAAAGACTTATTTCCTTGGATTACATGGATTACAGACTTAAATTGAAGAGGAATGGTACTAATGGACTAACCTTTTAATAGCCTACAACCACAACAGACAACTGCCTATAGAAAATGTCAAATTTCTGCCAAACTCCTACAATCACCAAGGTAGCCTTCACACTTCCCTGCAATGGCAGTGCCACTATGATCAATTTCTAGCCAAAACTGAAGTTGCCCTGACATGAGCAACAAACATGAAATCAAAGGCTGAAAATAAAATATCTTGCTCCCTGACTTAACATAATCAGTGCATTTTCTTAGATTTATCTTACTCCCACTAAGGCCCTTTCCACACATCTGAATAAAATCCCAAGTTTTCTGCTTTGAACTGGAATATATGGCAGTGTAGACTCAGATAACCCAGTTCAAAGCAGATGTTGGATTTTCTGCCTTGATATTCTGGATTATATGTCTGTGTGGAAGGGCCTTAAGAAATTTCTGAAAAGGAGAACAAGATGATCTGTTGCTTTGGCTGGTATGGGGCTGGGTAGGAATATTTTCTCCTCTTATGGGTTTTTCCCCACCTACCCCACACTGTCAAGGATAATGAGACCATTAGTTAAGGGCAGTGTCTTAAATAGGGGCCCTATTATCCCATATTATCTGAGTGTGGCATCAGATAACCCAGTTCAAAGCAGATATTGTGGGATTTTCTGCCTTGATATTCTAGGATATAGGGCTGTGTGGTCTCCATGGCAGGGGTGAATATATGAATTGTTAATACACCTTCTGGCATATTTGCATAGGATTTGGAACTGCTCCCGTGAATCATGCAATCTTGGGGTTGGGGAAAAATTTCCTACCCTTGAGGCTGTTCTCTGGGTCTTTGCCCTCAACAGAGTCAAAATGGTCTGGAAGCTTACACCCTCTGGCTTAAGTTTCCACTTTATTAGTTAAATCTGTGACTTTCAGGAATTCCTCTAAGGGGAAGGCTGAGGATGCAGATCTGGGGAGATTGACCACTCCAACTGTTTCTTTATCAAATTGCTCTCTGCATTTAGATTTGCTTATCACTTAAATCATAGAATCATAGAGTTGAAAGAGACTACAAGGGCCATTCACTCCAACCCCCTGCCACGTACCCCCAACAGATGGCTATCCAGCCTCCGCTTAAAAACCTCCAGAGAAGGAGACTTTCACCGCTCTACCAGCAACATACTGCACTACCAAACAATAATTAAATAGGTAACAATTAATAAAGTTGTCCTTATTTTATCCCATCTTCTGTGTCTGGTTTCTTTATTGCTCAAGTTGGATAGCAAGTCTCGCCAGGGGCCCTTCCAAACAGGCCCAAAATGTGGGGCCTATCTAGCTTTTACCTGAGACATCCAAATGACAATTAATCCAGTTTGCTCCAGATTAATAAAACACCTGGAAAGATCTGGACCTTAAGTTAAGGTCAGGATCTTCCAAATGAGGGCTTCTGCAGACTCAGTAATCAATCTCCACATCCATCCCAGTCCTACAGGCACCCACCCCCTTCCCTCCAGCCCCCATTTCCCCCTTAAAAACTTACTGGAGGCAGGGCCGTAGCCAGAAAAAAAATTTCGGGAGGGGTTGAAATTTTCGGGGGGGTTGAAAATTTCACAGGGGGGGTGTTGAAACCTGCCTCCTAGCTCACGCTGAAGCAAAGAACACAGCAGGGGGCAGAGCAGCCTTCAATAGCCTGCAGCTCCGCCCCTGTCAACCACCTCCACCAAGTCTGGCCTCCTTAATGAGAGCATTCAACACCCCCCCCCCCCCCCCAACTTGGTTGCTTCACTACATCGGCTGTTGCTGCAAGTAATGACAGTGTGAATAAATTGTCAATATTTGCTTGAGATAGTGCTTGCAGTTCTGGAGGGACTCTTAATTTTTTGCATCTCATAGACTTAGCATGGGGATTTGGTTAACCAGTTAAAATTCATGAGTAAACCAGGTTTTTTAAAAATCTGAAACATTTTGGGGGGGGGTTGAACCCCTAAAACCACCCCCTCGCTACAGGCCTGACTAGAGGGGCCTAGTAGCAACACAGGTCCCTCTGTAGAGTACTCCTGATGCACGAGAATGACGTGTCAGGAGGTGGGGAGGGGCACCCCATGACAAATCATTTTTGCATGCCAGGCGTACTCTGCAGCAGGGATTGTGCTGCCCATCTGGTGAGTTTTTTTATGGAAATGGGGGGAGGGTGAAGGAAAGGTGGTGGGCGCCTGAAGGACCGGGATGGCTGTGGGGATTGATCCTGGGACTGGGGGGGGGGGGTCAACCTGGGATGGAATCTAGCCACCCCTAAAGGGAAAGACCATGGTTTAGGTTGGAAACAAAACCTGGGAGGAAGTGGGCCCTAGGAAACTAGGTGGTGACAGTATTGAAAATTAGATGGAGACTGAGGTCCCTTCTATACTGATTTATAATCTAGTTTCTAATCCCAAATTATCTGCTTTGAACTAGATTATGTGGCCGTGAAGAATTATATAACCCATTTCAAAGCAGATAATCTGGGATCAGACATTGGATTATATGGCGGTGTAGATCCAGACAAAAAGAGTACTGAAAAGGAAAACAAGAGATCTGGTGCTTCTTCTCATCTCAAGTGAATACTATATCTATACTTTAATTAGTCCTTGGCTGTTGTATATTGACTAGCATATAAATGTACTGATTGTTAGAGCTTTTTTGTTGTCTTAAAATTGTTAAAGCACTTTTATATTTCCAATGCATGTGCTTACTTCTCTGGGTAGATTTAAGGGGGCATTTGTAAGCAATGTTTACTCTGCCTTCAACATACTTATACACTCTGGTAGTAAATGCAGCATAATAGCACAAGCCACAGCTGCTTTGTAGTTTCCAGAGAAAGGTAGAACACAAATCCTATAATCAGCAGCACTGTAATCACCACTAAGCCCATACTCCACACTCTGGACACATCAAAAGTGGCTCATTGTTCCTTCTCCCTCAACCCTTTTCACAGTAACATTTTCCCCTCTTTCTTTCAGTCTTATTGTTGCTGTTTATTGTTTTTCAATATGCATGTTATTCTTATTTTTCCAATACTTTCTCACATCACCTCAAATTTCAACTTTATTAGAACATCTTACTGCTTACTATAACATTAAATCAACTCTTAAAAGTTATTTTAAATTATGGCCTTTTAAAATTTCTTTCAACTCACTTCTACCGGTTATTGACAAGCCAAAGGATAGCCTAGACTGTAAATTTCACTGTTTTGTTAAAATAATCCTATACACAGCCTTGGATTTGTCCATCAAGGTATTCTACTCCCCACCCGGTCAGATATGTAAGATAAACTGCTCTATCAAGCCAATTTATATAATAACGGTTATATGCTCAATTTAGCCATGAAAAGAATGGGTGTCTCCCACTGTTCCTTTAATCCTACATTGAAAAGTTGAAACATGCTTGCATAAGCTTTTTAAACTTTCAGAGTTCATGTGAACCCATAAAGAAGATCAAAAGGAAAAATGTAAAATGCCATTATTAAGCATTTTATGTCAACAACCTACATTAATATGAACTGACAAAAATTATCACATTCATCTGAATAGTATTAACTGTGCTATGGAGATTATGCTATATAAAATACAAGAAGCAGAACACTTATTAGGAAAAGTTCATTTTTAAAATGGTAGATACATTTTAAAAAGATATTTCTACAAATGCAAAAACACTGCAGAATGAAGTAAATCAAACTACTTTTGACATCCAGCTTTTAAGTGACTACCATGTTAGTAAAAATATTTGAATGAGTGCTGTTTCTTAATAGCATTAGAATAAAATAACATTAATTCATATAAAGTTATGTGAGAAATTAAATCAAACACATTTTTAAAATCTTTTAGATTCTCGATCAACTATAGTTAACTCACAAAGACAAAACCCTCCATTTACTATACACATTTACCAGCTCTTACTTATACAAACTATATGAAATTATTAAACAAATTAACTGTGCCAGCCCTACATCCTTGTGTCACATATCAAAAAGGTAAAAGAAATAAAGATGTCAAAAAGTCTCAAAGAATCACAAATAAAGAGAACAAACAAACCAAAGAATTACATAAATGAAATCATCAATCAAAATTAAATCTTTTGGAATAGCATGGCATCATCATAGCATGCATAGGAAGATATGATTCAATAGTTTCCTTGCAAGCAGAACTAAAAAAAATAATACTTCAGCTCCACTTTTGTAAAATGTCCTTATTATATATTTATGTGATGAGTTATTAACAAGTGATTAAAAGCCTAAGTGAAGCAGTGATACCACAATTTGCCTTTTCTAAAAAAGAAACAATGTTTTCTTGCTGTAACCAAAATTCCTGAAATTTAGCTGCAGCTGATAATGACAATCATAACAGTCCTCACCCTTTTATTAAAAAAATAAAATAAATCTGTTACTTACAGATCACTCAAATTCAGGTGCCGGAAAGACTTCCGGGACAAACTTGAAAGTTTATTTCTTGACAAGTTACTGTAAAGAAAAAAAACAATGCAATCAAAAATTAAGATGGTTTGAAACAATAGCTAAAAATTAGAATCCAAGCATCAGTAAGCTTTCTTTAAGACTTCTGCCATATTGCTACCTCCAAAAATTATACAAGCTATACGCCACCTTAATGGATAAGGACGGGATAGAAATGCTCCTAATAAATAATAAATTAATAACTAGCATCAACAAAATGGTAAATATTAATCCCAACAGATATTAGAACAGGTCTAGTTATATGAAGAAAAAATATTTTCCAAAGAGTTTCTGAGTCCCTGGAACTTGGCAAACAGGACCTCTTCTAGCAGGGATTTTTGCATGAGCGTGGTGAAAAATACAGCAAAAGGTGAGCTTGTGTCTGTTGGGTCAAACATTCCAAAGAATCTTTTGGAAGAGTTTGTTGGACTAAAATTGTTGTATCTGTTGAGGTAAAGCTGTTGGGTTATTTAAATTGGGAAGACGTTTGCTTTTGTGCTCATTAGTATTTTATTGGCCTATGGCATTTTGGTGAGCTTGTATCATTTGTGTAAGCTAAGTAGAGATGTGTTTATGTGCTCATTAGTATTCTGTCTTTCTATTCTGCATAGCCTCAGGCCGAATACAGACAGGCCCTTGTCCCAGAAGCATCCATGTTAAAATAATGCGGATGTTTCTGGGGGCCTGTTTATACCCACCCCAGAAAGCGCGTGCTTTCTGGAATGAGTTGTCCAGACATTATTTCGGAACAAGCCCGAGAGAATGTCCAGAGGCCCTACCCCCCTTCCCAGGCCCCCAGACACCTTAGAAAACTAATAACTTAAGTGGTCTCCATTAGAAGCCTCAGCTGGATCTTCCAGTGGGTAGAAATGACACACCAGGAGAGCGGGTTGGAGGAGCGATTTTCCTCCCTCCGCCCCTCCGCCACCCCGTTCTTTTGGCATATCATTTCTATGCGCTGGGAGAGTAAGCCGAGGCTTCAAATGGAGACCACGTAAGTTTTTATTAGTTTTCTAAGGGGTCTGGGGTTTGCAGGGGGAGAGCAAATTGGTATTCCCACAGTTTACCGGGCTTATTTAGCCTGGTAATCTGTAGGAATACTGTCTGGACTGCAGTATTCTGCAGTCCAGAACTGGATATAGTGGATTTATCCCACGCCTTCCAAGAAGGCGCGGAATAAATCCATTATCAAATTCAGTCTCTACAAACCAGGGTTTTCCTAGTTTGTAGCGAATTAATACAGGACTGTCCAGAATGTTGTCTGAACAGCCCCTCCTTTATTGTAGGAGTTCCCGCAATAAAGGCCCTGCTTGAGCATAAGCTCTCATGGGCTGGGGCATTTGCTAAGAAATAGTCAGGTCGCTTCTACACTGTCATATAAAATCCAGATTATCTGCTTTTAATTTGTTATATAGCAGTCTAGGGCCCTTCCAGACAGGGCAAAAATCCAAGACAGGGCAAAAATCCAATCTAACCCCTGTGCTTTTGCAGAGGTGGTGTCCAGAAACTCATCAATACAGATCCGAGAACAGCAGAGGTGAGTGGGGGCACTGCCAGCCTCCTTCTCACACGCACACACACACCCTCCATTTCCCACTTCACTTATGAGAGGAAGGCTCCATTTAAGGCCTGCAGTCTTCTCCCCTCCCTCCCCTCTCCCTTGGAAAAGTGGCCTTTCTCCTCCAAGGCCCCTTGTTGGTTCTTTCAAACCCTTTCTCTGGTAAATTAAAAAGGAAATGGGGAGCTCCGAGGGAGTCTACAGTGGGAGGTAAGAAAATCACAGGTTTTCCATTCCTGCAGGGATACACAGACATGGAAATGTGTGTTTTTTCAGGGGTAATTGGGTTTAAAGGGCGCCTTTTAGCACGTGCTTTTCAGCTCTTAATCCGATGCCTCCTGATTCCTCCCACATTTTGGCTAAACATCATTTAGCCACACCCCCTCCCTTTTAACCCACTTTAACCCGGGTTATAATGCATTTGTAGAAGGGCCCATAGACTCATATAATCCAGTTCAAAGCAGGTCATGTGGATTATCTGCTTTGATAATCTGGATTATATGGCAGCGTAGAAGGGGTCCTAGAGCACATTGCAAATAAAATAAATAAGATGAAATCATAACACAGCAAAATAAATCTATCACAAACATGACTGAATTCATGTTTGTGATAGATAAATTTGCTGATTGGAATGTAGTACTAGAAGGGCATGACCATTTTCAGAGAAATACACCAAACAAGGTAGAAGATGGGGTATCATTATAGATCAAGGATGTTGGTAATTGTTTAGAAATCCATAATATAAATCATGGAAGTCAGGTTTAAATAAAGTCAGGTAAAAATAAAAGAGAAAGTAACAACAGTAATGTCATTGTGGGAATGGCAAGTGTTTGACAATGGAATACACTGCCATAGAATGATGTTGTATCTCTTTTTGAAGGTTTTTAAACAGAGCTAGGAGTGCTTTGATTGTGTATTCCTGCATGGCAGGGGGTTGGATTGGATGACCCTTGTGATTTCTTCCAGCTCTATAATTCTCTGATTCTATGATGTCGACTACATGCTCAATATATTCATAAAAATACATGTTTTTCATATCTTCTTTGATCATTGATGCCCAAACTTACCAATCCTGACCATATGCCAAATATCTTCAACTTAATCCTTTTAAGATAATCCTTTCAAACTGCATGTGCAATGTGTACCCACATGAAAGATCACAGCAGTCATTAGGCCTTTCACGTCAATTAAGCATTTACTGCTTCATAATATAAGGAACTTTTAATACCTTCCACTAGACTAAAGATCAGAGACATTCTTGCTCTAGACTATGTTCATATGGGCACCTACACTGTGGGAGGCACATTTTCATTAAAGGGGAGATAAAGTGGCAAGATATCAAAGTTTCTGATGCAGAAACATACTTCGTGTTTTCTCCCTTGGATTTTAAGTGGCCATCAAAAAAGCTGTTGGGCTCTATCCCTGAGCAAAAACATCAGGGCTCAGACAGCTTGGTAGATTCTGTCATGCTTCCTCTTGTCTCTTGTTTTATTCGGTTCAGTCCCCATAAGGAGCAGGTTCTAAGGCTGAACTAGATCTTGAAATGGCCACATGCTTCCCACAGGTTACATGCAAATTAGGGCAAACTCTAAAGCAGTGGTTCTCAACCTGGGGTCCCCAGATGTTTTTGGACTTCAACTCCCAGAAGTCCTAACAGCTGGTAAACTGGCTGGGATTTCTGAGAGTTGTAGGCCAAAACACCTGGGGACCCACAGATTGAGAACCCTGCAACTTAGGGCAAACTCTAAAGCATTCTTAAGGGCAAACTCTAAAGCATTCTTAAGGTGTATGGAGTGATTTTCCTAGGGGTAATGGCAGCCACAGACATTATGTATCAGTAGATATCTGAACAAGTAACTGCGGTCAACATTATTTAGGTTGAAAAATGCTAGGATAGCTAACCACAATCTTCACAATCTGAAGTAGGCTTGTTTTAGTAAACCAAGTTAACTTTAATTACAATTTTCTGAGTGAGAAACCACAACTAGCTAAAAATGGAAGCAGAACTGCTCCTTGTGGCTGTGCCAGAGAAAAATATAACAAATCTAACAACAGTTTCAAAAGAAGGGAATGCACCAGACCAGCAGTCTTGCATAGGACCATTTACTTACAATTACATGCAAATTATTTTATTGGTTTGTTGTATTACACCCCAATCCGAAGACCCCTTCTAATAACCACAGTCCCTTCTACACTGCTATATAAAATCCAGATTATCTGCTTTGAACTGGATTATATGGCAGGGTAGACTCATATAATCCAGTTCAAAGCACATAATGTGGATTATCTGCTTTGATAATCTGGATTATATGGCATTATAGAAGGGACCCGTGAGGTATCATGTGAATCAATCAACTAAGCAGCATGAATCAAGACTCCAGTGGCTTGCATCCATTTTCACCCATTGCTTTCTGAGGGGCTGCCTTTATTTTTCATTCATGACACTGTTTAATTTCCTTTGTTTACATTTTGGATCATCATGCATCAGCTTTGAGAAGACATATGGCTACACAAATTTCATTTATGAGACAAGATAAAAAGTGATGGTAAAAATATTTTAGATAAATATGTACTTAACCTTTCTTTAGGATCTGATTTCACTGCAGTTGTTAAAAGTGCTCACTGCTATTGTCAGCATTCTTACATGATTTACACTGTGGGAAATCGGTTTATTTTTAAGAAGGATGTTAAATGAGAATTAAAAAGACTCCTTCTGTGAGACAATTAGAGCCAAAATAGTTTTCTTAGCTGGAAAGTTCATGCAGTATTATCAATCTTAATTAAATCTTAAATAAATCTTAATTAAAATGTCTGCAAAACAAAACAAGTTTCCAAACCCAAAATGTGCACAAATGGTTGAAGAGATGAAATTCAAAAATGCATAAATGCAAGTCCTCACTATGATAATGTAAATGCCATTTAAAAATTTCCTCCCCACAAAGGCAGGATTTTTGCCAACAGTGTTAATCAGGCATCTTATATATCCTGTTTTCGTTGGTTTAAATAAAAATTCAGGATACCAACCAACTTGCCATATAAATATATAAGAAGGGATGTGTGGATTGCTTTCCTTAATACATAAATGTTCACAGCATTCTTGAAATGACAATTTGAGTCAAAGTACATTCAAATAAGAGCTCTGCTGGATAGAATGAATAGCCTCTTTTGTCCAGGATTCTATTACCAAATAGATGCATAAAGGATATCCACTACCAGGACCTGAATACAATAGCACTGATATTCAAAAGCATGCTGGCTCTGATACAGAAAGTAGTATACTATATAGCCACCTTGACAAGAGTGTGTTCATTTGCCTTTAAGCTGGCTGCTGACTTACGGTAATCACATGAATTTCTTGGGGTTTTCATAAGCAAGGAATACTCTAAGGTGATTTGATCAGTTCCATCCTCTGAAATATAGTCTACAGTACCTGGTACTCTTTGGTGGACTCCCATCCAAGTATTAACCAAAGTTTAGCCTTCTTAACTTTCAAGATCAGATGGAATCTGGTGTCTTTAGGATATTTAGTTCCTCTTACCATGAAAAGTCACTGAAAAAATATCAGGTTTTCACACTACTCAGGGAACTGTCATTTGCTTCTTCTTCTATACCTGATGCATCATGGACAAAATGTTGGTAGCAGACTACTCACACCTTTCTGAGAACAACAAATAGTACTACAAGGTTCCTGTTTCAAAAAGTTTGGAGCCTTGATCTTGAGCCCTACAGCACTGAAGAAACATTTTAACATTTTAGTGCCGGTCCCCATTTACAATTTTTAAGTAAACTTTCTTCTCATCTGCCCATATGAAGAGAAAATAAGGTGTTGACGTCTGATAAAAGCTTGTCTGTTCTGAAATCATGAAGGAGGTTTTCACTTACATGTACTGCAGGTTGGTGTTCTTCAGAAAAGCCTGGCGTGAAACAAATTTCAAGCCTGAATCCACAACAGTTCTGCAAAAATACACAAGCATGTGTGAGAATTGACAGTTTTCAGTCCCGGGATATGTTCCCCCATCATTCTCACAGTCGTCTTTTGAAGCAGATCAAGATTGAGGGCAGATGCAGGACATCCAGCAGAAGTATTTTTAAAAAGAAACCCCCCTTTGTTATGCGCTGTACCATATACACGAACATATGAATATTTTAATATAAACACAAGCAGATTTGCATGCTCACATATGAGGTCTAGTGAATAACAGAGGGAATTTTATAAAACAAACTTTGGCCAGATCTCTCTCTTCCCCCAATTCTTAACTCAACCTCGGTTTAAGATTATATATAAAGTGTAAAAGAAAGATGTTTTGGTGCTTCCCTTTAGCCACCTGTGTGTCCATTTGAGAGCCCGATCAGTTAATCAGTGGTTTGGGCTTTTTAAAAAGTGCATGTATGCTGAAGCAGTCTACACAGGGGAAAGAAAGGGAAGCACGTGTTTTGCATGACTGCAGGGATATACAGTCATGCAAAAGTTCACCTTTTTCAGGTAAAATTGGGTTGTAAGCACACTTCTTAATATGTGCATTTCATCTGTTAATTCGATCCCTCCCGATCCCTCCTTCACTTTAGCTAAATGTCTTTTAGCCACCCCTCTTTAACCCGGGTACTTCTGCATTTTACAGTACGTGTAGAAGGGCCCTGAGAATGACTGAACCAAAGTTCCCCAAAAGTTTTGTCCATCAGAGGGGACTTCAACCTATCTTTTCCAAATCACAGTCCAGCACGTAACTGATTCTCCACACCACCCCCATACAGGTGAAAGTATTTCAAAGGCCTGGTTTAAAAAAGGGTCTGTGATATTATAACTATTAAATACTATCATCCCAATTCAGACGTTTAAATCTGAACCCGAGAGCCTAAATGTACACCTGGGGCTCATGCATATGCCTTTGATAGATTTTTCCATTCTTTATCATGAAAATAGAACAACTCACTCCAAATATTCTTTTGATTGTGTATGGATTTTTTTTCTTTCACTAAAATAAATGAAGGCCCATATATGTAGGAATTCAGCAGATACCATTACAGAGCTATACTGGACCACAGCAGAAACTTTACAATAACAAATGTAAACAATTAAACAATATACTCACAAATTTCTTAATCCAGTGTACAGTCCCACATCAATTTCATTTATGCTTTCTAACTGCCGCTGGTTTGCAATATAACTATTTAAAAGAAAAAAAAGAAGGAAGAGAAAATATCAGTAAGAAGACAGTGGTACTTTATTTTTACTTTTTCAAATGTGTGAGTGCCATTTATAGATATAGAGAGACACAACATCTGACTCTGAAGAAGGCAGGAAGAGAAATAAATCCTTTCTCCATTACTAATATGATCAAAAGGCAGGTTTGCAAAAGCACTCCTATAAACAATCACTACAACAAGAAAGAAAGACCTTTGCAGGATATGAGCAGAATAGATGTCAAAGTCCAAATCTAGAACACCATCTATCATAGCTTTCATATAATCCCCTGCAAGTTCACTATTTCCTGGCAAGCAGAAGAAGGCAACTAACAAAGACTACAAATCATAGCACCACTGAACTTTGCATGGAATAGTAGGGATGGAAAATAAATCTGGAAGTATCATACATGCTATAAAGTGAGCCTACCTAATTCATACTTCCTGAACCAAAATGCAGTTGTTCACAGCGTTTGAACACATATATGTACCCTCAAAAATGCAATGATGTTATTTGCCTTCTAGTTATTTTCAACTTATGGTGATCATAAGGTGAAGTTATCCTGCTGTGTTCTCTGCAAGAGTTATACAGAAGGAGCTTGCCATTGCCTTCTTCTTAGGTCGTTAGTATGACTTGGCCAAGGGTGTCACCTAGTAGCTTTCCATGGCAGAGTGGAGATTAACCCTCAAACCATTAAAATCCCACCAAAAATGCAGTGAAGTAAACAAAATGGATATATTGATTTACATATGCTTAAGTGCAAGTAACCCTCCTTTCTCTCCCCCTCCCCAACCCCATTAAACTTGGAAACCAATTCCAGGAGGTTCCCCCTCCACAGAAGGTCTGGGGGAAAACATAGTGAGAAAGGGATATTGGTCTTTTCCTGATTTTGCTTGTGAAACATGTTGCAACACTATCTGGACCCCACTGGATACAGGTCATTATAGTATTGTTTGTTGAAAACATATTTTCTGTATAGTTTTACTTCATATACATAATTTTTACCCCACTATTCCAAGATTTTCCTAGAGAATAAATCAGTTGTAGTCCAAGAAAACAACTTTTCCAAGCACTCTCAATTGTCAATGTAGCTAATAGTGCCATAAGAGCACAAAAAATACTGCAAGGAGGAGGAGAAAAAACTTTTTGTTAGTTTCTTATAGGTGGAGTGGAGTGAGAAACCGCATTTCTCCACATAGGGAAGAGAGTACATTTAACATTTCTTCCCAGACCTTCTAAAACAAGTGCATCATCATGGCTAAAAGACAGTGTCCCTGCTGGGAAATGATGCTCCAGATGCATTCCAGATGAACTGTACTACTTGTTTTCAAACTGACTTCCGGGAAACCCTGGGGATACTTGGAAACCTATCAAGTGTTCCTCCGCAGGAGGATCTGTAATGGCAGATAAATTTCCATAAAAACCAGTTTTGCTGTTCTGCTTCTTCTTTTGGGCGACCACTATCAATCTGCCATATGGAGAACTGCATGACAATACTGGGCATACTCTAGACTTCCCTCTTCTATGGTATATTAATCAGCTTGTTCAGTGCCCCATGGGAAATGAATGTACACACTAGAAAGTGCTCTAGAATTATCCAACATGCAGAAGTACAATGGCAGATGGTTTCTCACTGCTTTTCTTCTTGGAGGGAGCAACAAAACTTCTAGCAATTTCCTTCCTTCTGCAAAAAGAATTTGAAAACTGAGCAGCTTTTGAATACTATTCACAATTCAGGATTTATGTGCAAGATATGCATATGTTTGGAATGTAGATTCGTATTCTTCTGCAGGAAAATACAATTTCTGCATAAGAATCTACATTTTCTGCAAGAAAAATGAAATTTCTGCTGTTTCCTGTGTTAAAAATGCTGTTCCCTGAGCAAGACAGTCAGGTGCAAATTTTACACAGAATAAGTTCCACACTGAAGGTTCTTGTCAATCCCAGAATCTTCTCACCAGGGCTTCATAACATGTTTTTCTGACCAGTTCTCAAATATTTTCATTTAAAAAAAATATTCTTCCAATCTTAAACACATGATTATGAAAAAAAAAATATTTTAATGCAGCATTAGAATACTTAACTAGCACTTACTTAAATATTGCAACAGAAATGCCCCCCCCCCCTTGCTTTCTTACAGAATGCTCAAACCATATTGAACCTCTCAATTCGTTCTAATGGAATTGTAGTGGCTGTATAGTGATGGGATAAAGTCGTCTGTATAGACAGAAAGGCACACCTTGTTTAACCTAACTTCACATTATGTTCAATAAAAGGTAGCCCAGCGCCAATGGTTTTATCCAATTTGTACATGGTTTTAACTATTTAAGTTATTCTATATGCTTTTAGACTGTATGTTTAGTGTATTTTCATCTGGCCTCTTTCCTAGCATGGGATTTAAAAATTTTTCAAGTAATTTAAATTGAATTTACTACACACCATGCTGACAGCTTTGGATACAGGATAGAATACAAATATTTTAATAAATATGCAATAAATATGCAGATGGGAAAGCCACTGCATTTACCATGGGGGTTGAGATTAGGAAATTAAGTTCCTTGTCTTCCTCTTTTCCTAGGGATCAAATGGAACCCATTTGCACATCTCTCTCCCACACTTCAGTCCTAACAGACACCTCAACACAGAACTCCATTCCTGAAAGACCTAGGTCTAATCCAGTATGGCCGCTGTCTGGACTGCCCCCTCAGACGTCCTGTGACTTCTGAGGGGGCAGTCCACACACCCCTCTCATGGTTTCCAATCTCAATGAGCCCAGAGGGCTGTAACCCCTCACCCAATCCCCCAGAAAAGCCTTTAAAACTATAAATTACTTACCCTGCCATCATTATCCTGTTGCCAGCCCTCTCCTGGCACATATAAATGGAGTGCCAGGAGAAGGAGGGGGCAAGGATCGATTTTCCTCCTGGCCCCCTTCCCCTGGCATGTCAATTCTACATGTCAGGAGAGGGCCGGCCACAGGGTAATGGCGGCCAGGCAAGTAATTTTTAGTTTTCTTGGGCACCCTGGCGGTGCAGCGCATTAAACCGCTGAGCTAATGAACTTGCTGACCGAAAGGTTGGTAGTTCAAATCTGGGGAGCAGGGTGAGCTCCCACTGTTTGGCTCAGTTTCTGCCAACCTAGCAGTTTGAAAATATGCAAGTGTGAGTAGATCAATAGGTACCGCTCCTGCAGGAAGGTAATGGTGCTCCATGCAGTCATGCTAGCCACATGACCATGGAGGTGTCTACAGAAAACGCCGGCTCTTCAGCTTAGAAATGGAGATGAGCACTCCCCCCCCCCCCCCCGAGTCAGACATGACTAGACTTAATGTCAGGGGAAACCTTTACCTTTACTAAGGCTTGGGGAGGGACTTTGTTGTCCRGATGCCCTGCTGGAAGGTCGGAAGGGCATGTAGACATTTCCCCCGCCCCCAAAAGTGAAGTGTTTTCTGCTGGTGTGGGGACAGGAGTCCAGAATAGCCCAGGTTTTTTAAACCCGGGCCGGATCCGACTTTTCCCCTGCCATAGTCCCACACTTAAGCAACTACACCATGTGCGGTGTTAAGGCCCTTCCACACAAGCCAAAACCTTGATAGAAACTGGCATTCGATCCCATGCTGAACCAGCACCAGCACAGAAGGGGTATGGCCACTGCCCACCTCTCAGTCCCTTTTGAGGGGAAATTCCTCCTCCTCCCCTCTCGAAAGCTCCATCGTGTCATCTTCTGGTGAAACAGAGCCCATAGAAGCCTCCAGCCTTGATAAATACCTATTTTTAACTTATTTAAATTATATGCAATTGATATTTGATATTGGAATGGCCTTGGACTAGAATTTTCAAATTACATGATTTTAATGTTTATATTAATATGTTTTTAACCTCATGCTTTAATGTCTAAATGTTATTATGTTTTTAGGATTTAATTGATAGTCATATGTTATTGTTGTTTCATGTTAAGTTTTTCATATGTATGTTAGGCACTGAATTTTACCATAAAAATGTTGGAAACAACTTTGAGTCCGTGTCCCCCCCTCCCACTTCCGGGTGAGAAAAGCAGTATATAAATGAAGTAAATAAATAAACAATACATAAATACCTCCAAAGATCTGAACCTTATTGAAAGGTCCAGATATTTGCAGGTTTTTTTTTAATCGGGCCTGAACCTGGAAATTCAGGTTTACTCCAGGTTAAACCAGATTAACCCAAGGCAGTGCTTCTCAAATTGTGACCTGCAGAGCCCTCAGGGCTCAGCAAAGCATAGTCAGGGACTCCTTGGTGGTCCCTGAGGGGGCCCCCACTCCGCTCTGCCTAGGAAGAGCACAGCCTATGGAGCCCAGTTGTCGCCATAGCCTACAGGGCCTCTGCATCACCAGTGCAGCCTATGGGGCCTCCATGATGACGATGCCGGCGCTGCCTATGAAGCCTCCACACAACAACACCATGGTCTATGGGGGCTCCACAATGATGATGCGGCCTACAAAGTGTCCATGGATATTACGCAACCACAGTCTATGGGGCTTCCACAATGATGGTGCAACTTACGGGGCCTCCCTGCCACAGCCACAGCACTTTGACTGTGCTTTGACTATAAGGCAGAAGGAGGCTGGACTCGATGGCCCGTGGGTTATTATTATTATTATTATTATTATTATTATTATTAGATACATAACAAGATTAGTACACAGCAAACAATATCACTATGCTGGCTTGTGCATTTGATCACATATTGGACATTTCGCAAGTGTCTAGGACTGTGTGATGTATAGGCGAATAATGCGTGCAGATCTGAATAGGGTGGCCTTTTGCAGCTGACAGATGGTTGTTATTATCATTATTATTATTGGAAAGACTGGATGGCCATCTGTTGGTGGTGCTTTGAGTGTGCTTTTCCTGCAAGGCAGAAGCAAGTTGGACTGGGTAGCCCCTAGGGTTGCTCCTACTATTATTATTATTATTATTATTATTATTATTATTATTATTATTT